ACAAGCGTCCTCTGGAGCGGTGGGATGAGAGATGCATGATTGATTCATGGTGTGGAAAGGATAAAAAGCAAAGAAAGATAAAAGAAGGATAACTTAGATGACTTGATTCCAAGTTAGAACAGCTACCGTTCTCCAGCAACGATGCCAGAAAGCTTGTTGACACCAGAAGTGGCAAACGGGTAAACCACAAGCGTATGGTAGTCAATGTAGCCTTCACCGGGAGTATTTCAAGTATCGTATTTCCACGGGGAACATGAAGTGATCTAACTAAGGATCAAGACCGTCCTATGATGATACAAAAGAGCCTATGAAACTTTGGGTAGAGAGGATCGAGATAGCAATGATATCTGGTAAAGATAGTAGTTATAAAGGGTAGTTCACCCACCTTGCTTACAGGAGGCGATAGGCGAGACAATAGGGGATGAAACCCTATCCAAAGCAGCTACCTTGTTACTGGGGCCCAACCTTTTAAGAACTTGCCTACAACACATGGTGGAATGCAAAGGCTAGATAGGGCTATCACCACCTGCTAGCTACCACAAACAATCTATGCGACAAGCGGTCTACACAGGTAAGATATAGTCTTACACTATACTTACTACTATAACCTTGCGCAACTAAGTTCCCTTAGAAAGATTAGAGCACTCTACTGAAGTAAAGTGGTGTACAAGTAAGAAGGCTTATATAACTACTAGCAGAGATAGAATACAAAATACTATAAAGATCTTAGATAAGTCACTTACAAGAAGAGCGCATCCACCATGGTACAACTTCGAGAAGACACCAGATAGGCTCGGCTCTTCTCCACACTCCCCTCACTCTCTCCCTAATCTCATAGCACTACAGCAGAGCTTCACTAAAAGCTACTAGAGAGTGGTTTACTCTAATGTGTCGTGAATGAGAGTGATGTCCTAGGGGGTATTTATAGCTAGAGTGAGGGGTGATACCACGTCATCAATCTAGGTGATATCTCCTCCTTGCCCTTGGATCCAACTGACCTTGAACCGACCTTTGTTCAACGGTTTAGATCAAGGAGGATGCATGGAGGCATGCATAGAGGTGGTGCACCAAAGTTGAGCTGGTTTAGCCACCTAAGGAGGTCGCCCGACCACCCTATGGCAGGTGGGCCATACCATCACCTTCTAGAAGGTGTCCCCATGTGTCATTGTGAAGGTTGGATACTTTGGTCACGCTGGATGCTTCGTCGTGGGCCCATGAATCTATGTGCTCTCCCTTCTAGCCAATAGGAGAAAAGAACCTCAAGATCCAAGGATGGAGATTGACCCTGGGGACCTTGACATGGATCAAGTAAGCTTGTAGTGGCTGATAAGCTCTATGGGCAGGTCGCCCAACCTCCATGTGGGGCCAAATCAACCCATCTTCTATAGGTGGCTTCTAGAATCATTATTCATCATGATGACATGTGTGAATGGCTTGGTGGGCCCGAGTAGAGGTCGGCCAACCTCTAGGTGGAGCCTTCAGCCACCCAATTCTCATGTATTGTGTACCTATAAGCAAATAATGACATGTACACGTGGAACCAAGTTATTTGCACATAAGTCACTATGTCTTTGCTTGTTAGCTCCCAGAAATAGTGTTTTGTTGACGGTTTTGGTGGTGTAAAAACATGGTGAAATTACCGTCAACAAGCAGATGCTAGAAATATAATTTGAACGTTGAACATATCTAACAGTGACATATAAATAGGAAAGGCATGCATTATAGTGAAGTAGTGCTGAAAATCCAGCATCTTTTTGTGAACCTAGTTAAGCAAAAAAAAAAAAATTTAATAAGCATCTTTGTTAAATTGCCATTTGAAAATAGAAATTAGGGAGCACATATTAAAGCAAAAGTAAGCAAAGGTTGATAATATATGACAATCACAATGTATCAATCAACCAAGGCTGCAAGTCATTACATCAAGGATGCACATTGTGACTAACCTTGGTAAGACTCGGCTTCTTGGTTGTAGGAGGTTAGTTGCTCACTTATTGAAATCTGGCCACAAGTGCAATCCTCCTATCTCTGAATCAACATTGAAAAATGAAATAAAGAAAATAAGAGGCAAATAGTCAATGATGAAAGGTAGGGGATGAGGAAATATTGTTGGTTTGTCTTCCCTAAACTCAGTGATGAGTAGTTCTATGCTTGCTGCAATGTAGCCAAAGTCCATATTAACAATAAAAGTGAAGATTAACAAACAATAGAATAATATATTTAATAATAGATAGAGGATATTTTTGTATGTAGCTACCAACATAAATAAAGAGAGCACACTATATGAGCAGGTAGATAAATTAAGAAGGCATAGGGCACAATGTATCACTACATAGTGTCTCTGACATAATTAGTTTATGTCCTCTCTACACTCCAAGCCAGTCTCAGTGTAGAGTTATATTGCGTTGTTTCCAAGATTACCATGTCATATAGAATGAAATGAAACTTGGATGAAACACCACTCTCAATGCAAAAATTTCATTCCATGGTTTCATAGACATTTAATTCTAAGACTCATAGAGAGTTGGTAATCATGTCAAGAGAGTTTCATCCCCATGAAACTCATTTCTTTTCTCTCTTCATTAAAACACTGCCATGTCATCGAAAAATGCATACATGGTAGTCTATTAAATGCAATGAAACTCTCATGAAACTTCCACTGAGACTGCCCTAAGTACAGTCATCTAGTCTGGAGTGGTAGTGAAGAGTCAGGATTTTAGTCAGCATTCATTTATCTATTCATTTAATGAAAGAGATGAAGTTAACGGAGAAACAAATACCTCATCAAAACATATTCAAGGGCCTTGGAGATGATGGGTGGCACCTCAGGGGATCGGCCTGGCTTAAGTAGTGGGGGGCAGAAGGGAGCCTTGTGGAACTCAATAGCTTTGCAATATACAAATAAGTCAACACCAATAAAAGAAATACAAACCAAATACAATAGGAAGCAGTAGGGAAAGGGGGAACAAGAACTGTTGGATCCTTCTCCTAGGGGCTTGGCTAGGGACGACATCACCGGGAACTTGACCTACATGACCATATCCTGCAAAGACAATTCATCCAACAGTCGAGCACAACCATGGCCTACAAAGACAATTTGTCGAACAGTTAAAGAGCGTGAGAAGAGACATAAGTCAAGCCAAAAGAGGGAAATATGACAAACTAAGAATGGATCTACCAAATCTTTGAACACATCATGCTAAAATTTGAGGGAACAACTCTTCCCTAACTTTGTTCCAAAATCCTAATCCTAAATTATAACCCTAGAATAGGCAGGAGTGGAGACGATGAAACATAAACTCACAATCCAATCCTAAAATAGAAAGTAACATAGAAAGAGGAGGCAACCTATCTATCTTGGAGTCTCTGATTTGCTGTCAAGAGGAGGTTCTCATGAGGACATCGCCACTAGAAGGGGCAGAGCAGCAGCGATAGTGCTGGGAGGGGTCGAGCAGCCACAACGGCATTGACGTTGTAGAGGGCAGAGCAATAGCGCTGCTTGTAGGGAGCGGTGGCATTGTGGAGAGCGGATCGATGACGGTGCTGGTGTTGGCAGCAGTAGTGGGGAGGAAGGAGGTTTTTCAATGTTCGCATGGACGGAAGGTTTGAGTTGTTTTTTTCTATGCTCACTATAGGACGGACGGTAATCCTGCATATATAACAGGGAATGGACGACGGTAGTTTTTCAGCGACGTGCAATGCTTTTATTCCTATGCCGGCTAGTAGGAACGGATGGTAATCCTGCATGTATAGCAGGGAATGGACGGCGGTAGTTTTGCAATGACGTGGACTACGGTGGAGCAAGTTTTGGTATTCAAAAACAAGGTTTATGCAGAGTGGTATATACACATGTGTATTGCTATAACATAAACTAGAAACCGCATAATATTAACAACAATTGAATTATTACAACCTATTAGAAAACTAAGACTACAACAAAAATATGTTAATTGATCAGATGGCTATGCATAAAAAGATGTTCCATATGAACAAGCATTTTTTCGTTAGATAACATGCATACCTTGTGCCAAGGGTGGACTTTTTATCCGTGGAAATCTAAACTCCATATAGTTTGGGTTCACGCGTATGTGTGAAGAACATGCGTGAGGATCACATCTATTTTGGCACTTTCATGGCAGAAGTAAAAGGAGAGAGAAATGTGATGTGTGCAATACCTAGATTATCTCTACAACTTCAACTGCACTCTAACCTAGGAACCATGGCTACAAACATACATGCAAAAGAATTAAAACAATATCATTGGTGTCATGGTCAAGCAGAGAAACATAACCCTTCGAAAACTTCAAAACAAATACAGAAACCCACCTGACCAAGAAGTATTGCAAGAATACATCCAACTGACCATATATTTATTGATGTTGTATACTCAGTTGCACCAAGTATGAGATTGGAGAACGGTAATAATGTGAGTATATGTATGATATAATGGGCTCACTAGCAACCTATAGTATAATATTACAAAGACTACTAGCAAAAAAGATATTGTGAAGACAAAAATATTAAGTAGCTAAAGCATGGTGGCAGATGGAGAGAAAGGATAAAAGACATTAATATATACAACTCAAAGTGGTATCTCTACATACCTATTACTATAAATGAAAGTGGATTTTCCACACATGTATAACCATCTTAAAATGGTATAACCACATAGGGACAAAACACATTACATGCACGATAAGAAAATTCATCACATGCATATGAGAAAGATTGGTAAATAATTGAGTTTAGGAATATAACATAAAGTGTGATTTGTTCCCAACCTCCGTTAGTTGTATACTTGTGTGGATCTTTGGTAGGCTATCCTGGTAGGGACCAGGCAACTGTCGAGCAGCGTGGTTTGCAGCCACGACACTCGCATGAGGTGTCTAGGCTCAGATTAGTTGGTCTTGGCACTGTTGCTGTGATGGATGATCGGCCTTATGCTTGCACCGATTGCTCCATGACCTTTGGTCCGGAGATGACGCTGTGTGGGCAGTGGGCACATGAGGTTGCACAAGCATGACCACCTCTCCTCCAAATTGGAGGAGGACACACCTACACCGAAGAGGAGAAGGAAGAAGCAGAAGTCAAAGCTGAGGATCATGAAGCCGCCAGAGGCGACATGGGGCAATGCCACGCGCCACAATGGGAGCCCTAGAGACGCCTGTGGTGAAGAACAGCCAGACAGGTCACTCAACATGTAGATCCAATGTAACCAGATGGCGACGCAGCTTGGGGTGGTCAACGCTATTGTCTCACCTGTTGATGAGAACTTGGAGGTAAAAGTTTCTGGATGTTAGGCTAGTGTCACTGTTCGCAACATAGTGGTCGCCATTCACGACAGCAACAAGGTCATAAAGAACGAGCGTAGCGGCGATGACAATTTCATGATCATCATCGATGACGACGATGATGATGCAAATCCTCTCATTGCTATCGCGGGTCTCGTGGAGCTCCTGCGGTGGCCATGGCAACTCCTACATCGCCTGCACCTCATGCACCTACTGAAAATGTGAACATTGGAGGAGCTCCTGCTGCTGCATCAATAGCGGCTATGACAATTCCACCACCTCCTGCTTTTGTGGCAGCAGCAACCATCACAAGACCTCCTCATGCCACCGCTATGAGTGTGGCCACTCAAACTGTGCCTGATTGCCTAGTGAAGAGGAACATAGGCTCTGGTGAAGCTGGTTCTCGCTAGGGATATGGTGGCAATGGTAAAGCTGTTGCTAGGTATAGCAATGGTTGTGGCAAATCTCTCGCTGGCTATGGCAATGTCATTTGTGGAAATGGTGTTGCTAGCTATAGCGATGCCGGCTATGGAGGCAAAGGTCTTGCTGGATGTAGCAGTGGCAGCCACACCTACAACACATCTACTCCCGCTAGAGGTGAGAGCAACAAAGTTTGTGCCAAGGCATATAGTTGCCCTAAGTGTAAGAACACGTTCTTCCCCACACCTAGGCGTTGGGAGGCCACATTACTCATCATCACAGAATCATGGAGAAGAAGGGCAAGGCAAAGCTAGACATGTAGAGTGTTCCACACAAGTGCAAAGTGTGCAACCATGTGTGCCAGATAGGGCAGGAACTTAGTTTCCACATGATGAGTGTGTGCACCCTCACCCTGGCATTGCTGCTGCTGTGGCTAAGGAAAAACCTTCGAAGCGATAGAGATAAAAAACATAGGTGTAGCAGTGGATGGCCCTTTCAATACCATGGGCTAGTGGTTCCCAGCTAGAAGCTCCATCCTCACGGTTCTTGTGCTAAGGCCGTGCCAGTGCACCTACCACCTCAAGGAACAATGGCTATGGCTGGCAATCCTATGATTGGTCATTTCTCAGCTTGCAACACCTCCACTAGCTGGTCACTCCCTACAACTACTAGCAGCATCCTTTCGGCAATCCCCTTGCACAATCAACAGAGCCAAATCCACCAAAATAAATAACAACATCTTTTTCATGCACGTGGCACATTTTCTTATCGTGCATGTAAGTTATTTTGTCCCTATAATTGTTAATGGTTTTTATAACTAAGCATTACATGCTTCTGACATGATTTTTGTGTACTTTTGTTAATACTTTTAACTAAAAGTGGTATCACCACATACCTATTACTATAACTGAAAGTGGAATGTCCACACATATATAACCATCTCAAAATGGTATAATCACACAGGGACAAAACACATTACATCCATGATAAGAAAATGCGTCATGACCATATGAGAAAGATTGGCAAATAATAGAGTTTAGGAAAAGTCACACTTTATGTTATATAAATATATAATATAACATAAAATGTGATTTGTTCCCAACCCACATTAATTGTATACATGTGTGGATCTTTGGTGGGATATCTTGGTAGGGACTAGGCAACTGCTGAGCAGTGTGGTTTGTAGCCTCGGCACTCGCATGAGGTGCCTAGGCTCAGATGAATTGGTCTTGGCACTGTTGCTGTGATGGACGATCGGCCTTATGCTTGTAGCGATTGCTCCATGACCTTTGGTCAGGAGATGATGCTGTGTGGGCAGTGGGCACATGAGATTGCACAAGAACGACCATGGGAGCTCTAGAGACGCCTATGGTGAAGAACAGCCGGACAGGTCGCTCATCATGCAGATCCAACATGACCTGATGGTGACGCGGCTTGGGGTGGTCGATGCTATCATCTCACTTGTTGATGAGAACTTGGAGGTAAAAGTTTTTGGATCTTAGTCTAATGTCACTGTTCACAACATAGCGGTCTCCATTCACGATAGCAACAAGGTCATAGAGAACGTGAGTAGTGACAATGACAAATTCATGATCGTCATCGACGACGACGATGACGATGCAAATCCTCTCATCACCATCGTGGGTCTTGTGGAGCTCCTATGGTGGCCATGGCAACTCCTACGTCACGTGCACCTCATGCACCCGTTGAATCTGTGAACATTGGAGGAGCTCCTGCTGCTGCATCAATAGCGGCTATGACAATTCCACCACCTCCTACTTTTGTGGCAGCGGTGACCATCACAAGACTCCTCATGCCACCGCTATGAATGTGGCCACTCAAACTGCACCTGATTGCCTAGTGAAGGGGAACATAGGCTTTGGTGAAGCTGGTACTCGCTAGGGATATGGTGGCAATGGAAAGTTGTTGCTAGGTATAGCAATGGTTGTGGCAAATCTCTCGCTGGCTATGGCAATGTCGATTATGGAAATGGTGTTGCTAGCTATAGCGATGCTGGCTATGGAGGCAAAGGTCTTGCTGGATGTAGCAGTGGCAGCCACACCTACAACACATCTACTCCCACTAGAGGTGAGAGCAACAAAGGCTATCCCAAGGTGTATAGTTGCCCTAAGTGTAACAACATGTTCTTCCCCACACCAAGGCACTAGGAGACCACATTACTCATCATCACAGAATCATGGAGAAGAAGGACAAGACAAAGCTAGAAATGTAGAGTGTTCCACACAAGTGCAAAGTGTGCAACCATCTGAGCCAGATAGGGCAGGAACTCAGTTTCCATATGATGAGTTTGTGCACCCTCACCCTGGCATTGCTGCTGCTGTGGCTAAGGAGAAAACCTTCGAAGCGACAGGGATCAACAACATAGGTGCAGCGGTGGATGGCCCTTTCAATACCATAGGCTGGTGGTTCCCAGCTGGAAGCTCCATCCTCACACTTCTCACGCTAAGGCCGCGCTAGTGCACCAGCCACCTCAAGGAACAATGGCTATGGCTGGCAATCCTGTGATTGGTCATTTCTTAGCTTGCAACACCTCCACTAGCTGGTCACTCGCTGCAGCTACCAGCAGCATACTTCCGGGAATCCCCTTGCACAATCAAGAGAACAAAATCCAGCAGAACAGATAGCAGCATCTTTTTCATGCACGTGACACATTTTCTTTTCGTGCATGTAACGTGTTTTGTCCCTACAATTGTTAATGGTTTCTATAACTTAGCATTACATGCTTCTGACATGATTTTTGTGTACTTTTGTTAAAACTTTTAACTAAAAGTGGTATCTCCACATACCTATTACTATAACTAAAAGTGGAATGTCCACACATGTATAACCATCTCAAAAATGGTATAACCACATAGGGACAAAACACATTACATGCACGATAAGAAAATGCGCCACATGCATATGAGAAAGAATGGCAAATAATAGAGTTTACGAAAAGTCACACTTTATGTTATATTAATAGATAATATAACATGAAATGTGATTTGTTCCCAACCTACATTAGTTGTATACATGTCTGGATCTTTGGTGGGCTGTCCTGGTATGGACCAGGCAACTGCTGAGCAGCGTGGTTTGTAGCCGCGGCACTCGCATGAGATGCCTAGGCTCTGATTAGTTGGCCTTGGCATTGTTGCTGTGATGGACGATCAACCTTATGCTTGCACAGTTTGCTCCATAACCTTTGCTCAAGAGATGATGTTGTGTGGTCAGTGGGCACATCAGGTTGCACAAGCACGACCACCTCTCCTCCAAGGCGGAGGAGGATGCACCCACACCAAAGAGAAGGAAGAAGTGAAAATCAAAGCTGACGACCATGAAGCCACCAGAGGCGACATGGGGCAATGCCACGCGCCGCAATGGGAGCCCTAGAGACACCTGTGGTGAAGAATAGCTAGACATGTCGCTTGTCATGTAGATCCACCGTGACCTGATGGCGACGTAGCTTGGGTGGTCGACACTGTCGTCTCACCTGTTGATGAGAACTTGGACGTAAAAGTTTCTAGATCTTAGTCTAATGTCACTATTCGCAACATACCGGTCGCCATGCATGATAGCAACAAGGTCACAGAGAATGAGCACAGTGGCGATGACAATTTTGTGATCAACATTGACGACGATGCAAGTCCTCTCATGCCATCGTGGGTCTCATGGAGCTCCTACGTTGGTTGTAGCAACTCCTACGCCGCTTGCACCTCATGCGCCTGCTAAATCTTTGAACATTGGAGGAGTTCTTGCTAGTGCATCAGTAGCGGCTCTGACAATTCCACCACCTCATGCTTTGTGGTAGCGGCGACCAACACAAGAGCTCCTCTCACCACCACTATGAATGTGGCCACTCAAACTGCACCTGATCGCCTAGTGAAGGGGAACATAGGTATTGGTGATGCTGGTTCTTGCTAGGGATATGGTGGCAATGGTAAAGCTATTGCTAGGTATAGCAATGGTTGTGGCAAATCTCTCGCTGGCTATGGCAATGTCGACTCTGGAAAAGGTGTTGCTAGCTATAGCGATGCCGGCTATGGAGGCAAAGGCCTTGATGGATGTAGCAGTGGCGCCACACCTACAACACATCTACTCTCGCTGGAGGTGAGAGCAACAAAGGCTTGCCAAGGTGTACAGTTTCCCTAAGTGTAAGAACACGTTCTTCCCCACACCCCAAGCGCTAGGAGGCCACATTACTCATCATCACAGAATCATGGAGAAGAAAGGGGAAGGCAAAGCTAGACATGCAGAGTGTTCCACACAAGTGCAAAGTGTGCAACCATGTCTGCCAGATAGGGTAGAAACTCAGTTTCCACATGATGAGTGCATGCACCCTCATCCTGGCATTGCTTCTGCTGCAGCTACGGAAAAAACCTTTGAAGCGACAGGGATCAACTACATAGGTGCAGCGGTGGATGGCCCTTTCAATACCATGGGCTAGCGGTTCCCAGCTGGAAGCTCCATCCTCATGCTTCTTGAGCTAAGGGTGTGCACCAGCCACCTCAAGCAACAATGGCTATGGCTGGCAATCCTGTGATTGGTCATTTCTTAGCTTGCAACACCTCTACTGGATGGTCACTCCCTGCAACTACCAGCAACATCCTTCCAGCAGCTTCTTGTGCTAACTGTTTAGATGCTAATAAGAACACGGACATGGGTAAAATAAATTCAGTGTATCCTACAGTTCCTAAACTTGTAGGAACAATTGACGGACCTTCTATTTTTTATTCATGAGACATCTATGTTTTCAAATTTCACTGCCTTTAATCAATTTCAAATGTTTAGTGAGTTCAAATTGACAGACCTATGCCCTTGATTTGGAGACATGCTTTGTTGTTTTGTTGAACCAGCCTTTTCGGACATTGAATCCTATTGTTCCAGCATAGATGACATAATTCATATGCGTGAACCAGGTGATGCCCAGTAGCTATTCTGAGCACTCTTGTTTATACATTGAATGCTTGCATGCTGTGATGTTTGACAACTATCAAACAATTTCAGTAGATAAGGTTTTGGCTATGCATTTGTTCCTCTTGAGGAATCGATGTCTGTTTCCTTGATGACAGTAGAAACGCAAAATAATAACAAGGTGTTGAGTATGTCAAGTTCTTGCTGTTCTGCATGGACATCTCAATAATTTAAAGTCATGATAAGAAAATTTCCCCTTGAAGCGTCAATGATTTATTGCCTATCACTTCGATTTTTGTAAAATAAATGATGAGGTAATATATACTAATTGAATGGCTAGTAGGTGGAAGTGACAATGAAAGAAGGCACCAACATTTGTATCAACAATTAGCAAGTAATTAGA